CTATTCTATTCTATTCTATTCTATTCTATTCTATTCTATTCTATTCTCTATTTCTATATTATCCTATATTCTATTCTATTCTGTATTCAACAAAGAACAGCCATGTTTCATGTCCTCCTCTCAGACAACTCTTGCATAAGAATAACAGGGTTAGAGGAGACCTCTAGCCCAACTGCCTCTCAAGGAAGAAACCCTATACCAGCGGTCGCCAACTGGTGGGCTGTGAGAAAATTTTGGTGGGCCGCAGAGAAATCTCACCCCCAGAGCACCCACCCAAAGCAATTAATCCAGGCTGCGCAGAAATATAAGGCTGTGCAGCCCGCGGGGACCCTCCCCGCCCACTCACTTCTTACCCGGCAAACCTGCCTGCTAAATTTCTATTTTTCCTTTTTCCGACCATCATCTGTTCTGCTGTGCTGGGAGATTTAGATTAGCTAGGAAGCAGGAAATGGTTGGATTTCTTGCTTTCTAGCTATTCTTTAGATCTTCGGCTCTGCTTTTAAACACAGCCGAACCTCCATTAGGACTGAAGGTTCTATTATTCAGTGCAGACTCATGGCAAGCAAATTTGAGAGACTGAGCTAGCCGATGGCAAATAGATCGATCACTGAATGATTCTGTGAGCAACTCAATCTGCCTGCTTTGCCTGATTTGGGGTAAAAGTTGCTTTTTTTAAAATAAAAAATGCAATATTTATATATTTATAATATTTACATACAAGCCATGCCCAGCCAGTCACATGACCACCCAACCACACCCACAAATTAGGCCACGCCCACAGAACCAGTTAGTGGTCCCTGGGATTTAAAATTATGAGTTTGGTGGTCCCTGAGGTCCAAAAGGTTGGCGACCCCTGCCCTAGACCATTCCAGACTAACGGCTATCTTGTTAAAATCCATTGTGCACTAATGGAGCAGCCACAAGTTCTGATGGCCAGCTGTTCCACTGGTTATTTGTCCTCACTGTTAGGAAGTTTCTCCTTCATTCTAGGTTGCTTCTTTCCTTGGTTAGTTTCCATCCATTGCTTCATTCCCGGGCTCACGCAAATACCGCCGCAGAGTAAAAGGCACAGAGAAACCAAGCCTGTGGCCCTCGCCCTGCTTCTCCGCTCACCCGTCTCCCTTCGTTTTGCAGGCGCAGAGTTTGACTCCTGAGGACTACAACCTCCGGTGGTCGGGTTTGTTGGTGACGGTGGGCGAGGTGGTTGCCAGGAATGTGCCGCATGTAAGCCGCCCTGACTGGCACGCGGCGTTCACGGGCATGTCCCACCAACAGATGATCTATAGCGCAGCCAAAGCGATCGCAGGGATGTATAAGCAGCGTTTACCCCAAAGGACCATTTGAAAGGAAAATCGAAAATCCCTTTCCGAGCCCGAGAAGAATCCATGGAAGCAACAAGCATTTTTACTGCAGGGTTGGGAAGGGAGGGGAAAACACTGTTTACTCACAGCTTCTCATCCTGGTGCTATCACCTAGTACGTTGGGCTGGAGCCTCCTGGGTTGCAAATCAGTGTTTTTGGAAAGGCACCAGGTTGCAGAAGGTTGCATTAATGAAAATACCTTCAGGGGGGCGCACATTTCAAGTTAAAACGGTAAAGCTGCTGATTAATATTAGTCTGTCATTAGAGCTGGAGAAGTTCCATTTGGAATAATTGGAAATCCAAAGTCAGAAAAATTCGTTTCTTGGTGTTTTGAATGTTTGTAAGAATGGATGATGGGGATGAATACTTGGCCTGGTGAAATCACCCCTTTTTAAGTTTTTTATCTGTCTTGTCTTCATCTTAGGGAGTTGAGAGAGGCAGAGGCAACCAAAATGGAATTTTAAAACAGAGGGGGAAAAATATCCCAGATTTGTCTATTATCTTGCAAAAGTTTAACCCAGATCCAGTGACAACTCATTCTTGGGCTCTTTTGCAGAAATCTTCCAAAATAGGGCATTATGGAATAGTTGTAATTCAGGGTTTTTTTCCATATATTTTTTTTCAAGGTGAGTTTTGTACGAGACCCTAGTTTAAATCGTTCATTTTACGTGAAAGGCTTTCTCTGCCTTTGAAACTGATCAGCTCAGACATACAGTTCAAATTATGGAATTTAAAACGCTGGTTTGAAACAATTGAACTGTTCAGTCAAATTTAATCCAGAGATTTTATTGGTTTTTTAAAAACATTTTTCAGCATTTTCTTCCAACAAATTTATTCAGGGGAATTGCCTTCCCATCACATTTCAGAATCAAAATTTGCGTAGCCATCTTATCAGAGGTTTAATAGAAGTCATTACGTGATATTGTCCGTTGAGTCTCAAGCCATATTGCATGTAGCAAGGATGGTGCAGGGCCGCCATTAACACAAGCAAATAAATTGCATTTTGTTTAGCAGTTAAATGTAACCGCTACTTTCACAAATGCAAATTCTTATCCCTTTTCTGTCTCTTATTCTCTTATCTCCTATTCTGTACTTGGATGCTGTCAATTCATATTTATAAACTTCTAAGGAAGAGAATATTTTGATAACGTTTAGTACAAGCTTCTCAATTTATATTGCTTAACCTTTCTCTTTTTCTAGAGGCTTTCAAAATACAATTTTATATAGAATACCTGGTTAGCCAGTTTCTTAATATTTTCCCAAGAATGTTAACTTGTTTTGATGTAAATCAGAATTAAATCAATACTGCTCCAGTAAAACTGTTGTTTTTCTCTTTAAAGCATTTTAGCAGATCCTAAAACCTGGCAATCATATCCACCTACCATAGAATTTGTAGAACGTTCTTTTTCAACTGATCAGGATAAGAGCTGGAAGGGACCTTAGAGGTCTTCTAGTCCAACCCCCTGCCTATACAATTTCAGACCAGTGGCTGCCTAGTCTCTTCTTAAAAAACCTCCAGTGATGAAGCACCCACAACTTCTGGTGGCAAGTTGTTTTACTGGTTAATTGTCCCGTCAGGAAATTTCGTAATTTCTTCTTAAATGAGGTTATTTCTCTTGATTAGTTTTCATCCATTGTTTGTCTTGCCTTTTGGTGCTTTGGAGATTTGACCCCCTCCACACCCCCCCCTTTGTGGCAGCCCCTCAAATACTGGAAGACCGCTATCATGTCACCCCTAGTCCAATCTTGCAACCTTTAATCATCCTAGTTGCTTTTCTTTGCACTTTTTCCAAAGTCTCAACATCCTTTTTTTGTAACGTGAGGACCAAAACTGAATGCAGCCTTCCAGGAGTGGCCTTACCAGGGCTTTATAAAGCGGTGCTAATACTTCATGTGATTTTGATTCTAGGCCTGTTTATGCAACCAAGGATTGTTATTAGCTTTTTTGGCTGTTGCCGCACACTGTTGGCTCATGTTTAAGTGATCGTCCACAAATTTTTTTGAAACTTGATTTTTCTTGCCACTTTTGTTAAGTGAATCACTGCAGTTGTTAAATCTTGTGACACGGTTAAGTGACTCTGACTTCCCCATTAACTTTGCTTGGGTCACATGACCCTGAGGACACAAGATAAACCTCCAAGTGGCCTCAAAGACTCTTTAAAAGGATGCAAATGACCTATTCTCCAAAGCACCAGAAGGTAAGACGAGAAACAAGGGATGGAAACTCACCAAGGAGACAAACAACCTGAAGCTAAGGAGAAACTTCCTAACAATGAGGACTATTAACTAGTGGAACTGCTTGCCACCAGAAGTTGTGGGTGCTACTCCATCACTGGAGGCTTTTAAGAAGAGGCTGGACAGCCATTTGAATGACATGGTATAGGGTCTCCTGCTTGAGCAGGGGGTTGGACTAGAAGACCTCCAAGGTCCCTTCCAACTCTATTCTGATTGATTGACCTGGGACACTGCAACCATCATTAACAGGAGCCAGTTGTCAGGCATCCAAATGTAGAACATATGAGCTTGGGGATCATCATAAGTGTGGATAATGGGTCCAAAGTCACTTTTTTCAGTACCATTGTAACTTCAGTCACTAAACGAACTGTTGTAAGTCAAGGACTATCTGTTTGGCTTCATTAATCATAAACAAGCATTGGACCAGAGAAACTTTGTGTTTTGAGAATTGTTAAGTCTTGGGTTTAGACAACTCACCTAACCTTATTAAAGGAGCCCATCTCTGGCACACTCCCAAATTATTCAATCTTGCGCTGAAAAATTCAATCCACCTAAGAGTTAACACCAAGTTTAATAAAAGCATGTGAACACAGCCACTGACTTTCATTGACCAAAGGATTAGAAACACACAATGGTGCCTTATCTGAAAACGCTAGTTTATTTTTAGAATTTTTAACATACCTTTAAAATTCAATATAGTAGCCAAAACCTTATGACCACAAGCAAGCCCAACACTTATGTTGCAAAGTGAGGAATTTGTTAAGTGAGTTTTGCCCCATTTTAGTCTCCACGTTTCACCGCCGTTCTCAAATTGGGTTAGCTGGTGAATCTGGCTTCCCTGATTTGTGATCACATGACCTTGGGACACTACAACCGTCATAAATATGAGTCAGTTGTCAAGCATCCAAATGGAAGTCATGTGATTGTGGGGAAGCTACAATAGTCATATGTGTGAAAAATGGTCATCACTTTTTTTCCAGCGCTGCTGTTAACTGAGCAGCCACTAAATGAACTGTTAAATCCAGGACTACCTGTATGTCTTTTGTCGAATACATATACTTTTGAGGGTGCGTGTGGGCAGGATCGTCACTTAAGTAAATCCAAGTATTTTTTGATCCCTGAGACTTTCTTCCTTTACAAACATCCTGTGCCACGGATTGGACGGCACCTTTATAGTGGGATCCTTGCACTTTTTGAGGTGGAAAAATTTCAGTCTCGAGACCTTGATAGGCGTCTTCGGCCATTCTGGCGGGTTTTCTTGCCTCCTGCCAAGACCCACAAAAACCAAAATTTTCATGGGGCAATATTGCTTCATCTAAAGTCCACCTGCAGCAATATTTCTGAACACATGTTCACAGCCTTCTGAAATTACGTGGGGAAGGATCCTAATCCTTTCCCAAACTGTTAGAAAATAATGGTGTTAAAACGTTAACACCCTTGCAATCCAGGTTTCCTAGTATCAAACCTGTTGCATGGAACCCTAGAGCTGGAAGGGACCTTAGAGGTCTTCTAGTCCAACCCAAGGCAAAAGACCGTGTATCATTCCGACAAGTAGTTTTCCCTATCTTTACTTGATGGAGCATCCACAACTTTGGGAGGAAAGTTGTTCCATTGACTGATTTTTCCTGCAGTTTCATTATTTTATGTCACTTAGTGACTGCTCAAAGTTACAACAGGGACTGAAAAAAGCGACTGATGCATGTTCTCTCTTTTTTTTTTAAACAAGTTTTATTTTCAAGACAAACAATACATAAATACACATAAACACAAAACATAAAAGCATAAAAAATCTCTTTTCTGAAAGTTGCTTAGTCCCGGGTTAAAACTCTTGGTACAGACACATACCATTTCATATCTTATTAACATTTTCAATTTTCTATATAACTTCTCCTCTCCTTTAAATTTTCTCAATTTTATTTTATTATTTTTTCCTCTCAATTCATATCCTAATATTTATTATTCTTTGTCTGTTCTATTCCAGCCAATCATTTATTTTTCTTCTTTAAAAAAAAGAAGAAATACTTATCCTGTACACTATATGGAGATGATGCCTTTATCTTTTTCCCTTATATTTATAGTACCTAATATAAAATACATAGCATACATTGGGATTCTATCTGGTACATTCTAAAATTATACTATATTATCAAAAATAATACAAATCTATTCATTAATATTAATATTCATTCATATCTTAGACGTTTAACTCATTACTTTTCAATTAAATCACATACTTTTATGAGAGCCCTATTTCCATAATTATCCCCCCCCCACATCACATATTATAGCTCAATATTTCATTGAAATGTTCCTCCTTCTTCTACTTCAAATCTCATTTCAAAATTTTTTGCTAGCATGTTCTAATCATTAATTTTAACAATCATTTATATCTTAAACATTTTATCCATTTCAATTGAATATTATGCCTTTGTGGGAACACTTATGCTTTCCACGATTATTACCCCCTACATCACAATCTTGAATCATATTTCATTACAGTACTCTCTTTTTCTTAACAAAAATTTCACTTATTTATGTTAGATATTTTATCACATTTTAAGCTACATATTATTTCTAATTTTCTATAATTACTTCTAAATACAGATATAAAAATGCAATCTTATGTACCTTTCTAGAATCCCATTAACAATAAGATCTATCCATTATCGCTGAAAAACTTTTGCTTCTTAATATCCTGCTCCCCACCATTAGAGCTTCTCATCCCTTCCTTTCTCCCTTGCTTCTTCTTCTCCTTGTCCTCTTTAACCCCTTGTCTCTCCACCTCCCTTTTATTCTGCTTTCCCCCTTTCTGTTGTTTCTTAACATAATGTCCCCTTTTCACCTTATTCTTCTCTTTTTGGGCTGTTTTTTCAGATCTTAAAGACCTCTTTTCCTTTTTCCCGTCTCCAATCAAAGTCCTTTTTTCATCAAAGATGGCTTCTTCTTCTTCTTTGTCCCCATCATCCTCATTCTGCTTCGCATAAATATAAACCGCCATTTCTAAGTATTGAAAAATAGTGCCAAGTCCATCTTCCCCTCCTTGTTTTTCTCTTTCATATTTTTGATATATAAGTTCCAATCCATCCACAGGTGATGCCATTGTGTAGAGAAAAAGTTTTTCCAAACCACCACCCAGATGATTTAATCAGAAATAATTTCTTCCGGTTTGCTAGCCTTCGGCAGCGGCAGGGATTTGCGACCGCGCGATCCCTGCTGCGTTCGCCGCCAAGGTTCCCCCGATCCATTTGGATCTGGGGGATATAGCTGCCCCGTAGAGGCAGCTGAAGACAGGGGGGATCCGGCAAGGGGTTTGGGGGTGCCGCAAACCCCCTCCCCAGCCGGCTAAACTCCCTTTTCCTGAGGTGGAGGAACGGCGGTCAGTAATGGCCGCCACGAAGAAAGCTGCAGCCGGGTAAGCAAGTGCGAGAAAGCTGGAGAAAGTGAAAGGTGCTTTTAACCGGGACAAGACAGGAGAAAGTGACTTGGAACCTTGAAAGCTGTTAAGGATATATTGTTCCTTGTGAGAGCCACAAGCTGCGAATACCCTAAAGGGGAAAGTTTTTTTTTTCTTTGTTCTACTGTTCTACTCTCCTTCCTAAAGTGACAGCGGAGGGGGGGGGGGGGGGG